GATACCAAATTTAGTATATGAGGAGCTAGCGAAATGGCCCCGAGCAGGCTATGAGCAATTTATGTTGTCATGTTTTTCACATTACACGCGTGTCAGGATTATCATGTTTCAACCAGTCATATATTTTTTCATCCATTCACGTCACGTAACACCAAATTTGATATATGTGGAGCTAGCAAAACGGACGCGAGTGCATAATAAAGGGCCCAATATGCTTCAATGAAGCGGTGACGTGCGTGAACGCTGGGCACAGCGATGCCAGGTTAGCAAAACGCGAGCACTCTACAGTCTGACGCCAGGTGCGACCACCGTCCGTCGGCATGGCCCGACGGCAACCGGCGCGGAATGCGAATGCTGCATTTCGCACTGATACATTACCCAGACAACACTGCGTCTCCCTCTTTTCGTGAAGGAGGGACGCCGGACACGCTAAAACGCGCATGCGTCAAAGCAACGCAGCACGGCTCGCACCTGCGAGTATATGGCAAGAGCGGCGCCTGGCGGGGCAACGCCGGCGAGACGCGACGAAATGAACGCCAGCGCGAGCACGCGCCCCACGTCACGTCGAAATGTATTGGTGCCTTGACTGTGTGATGTAGTCATGGTTGCACAAGACTCGATTCTCATGATTATCATGTTCGCACCAGTCATATACCTTCGTCATCCATTGGCATCACATACTACCAAACTTGGCATATATGTCAAGCTAGCGAAACGGCCGCGAGCGCATTATCAGTTTGTCATGTTACATGACACACATGTCGTGGTTATCATGTTTGGATGTGTCATTCACCGATGTCCGTTCGCGTCGCGTAATGACGAGTTTGGTACATGTGAAGCTATAGCGAAATGGCCGTGAGCGCATCATCAGCGTAGCATGTAGTCATGTTGTTAGATGACACGCATCTTGTGTTTGTCATGTTTGCACCAGTATCACACCTTCGTCCTCCATTCACGTCCCGTAATACCACATGTGGTATAAGTGAAGCCAGCCAAACTGCCGCCAGCGCATCATCAGCGTGGCATGTAGTCACATTGTTACATAACACGCATCTCATGATTACCATGTTCGCACAAGTCACATACCTTTGTCATCTATTCACGTGCTGTAATACCAAATTTGGTATATGTGACGCTAGTGAAACAGTCGCCAGCGCATCATGAGCGTGAAATGCAGTCATGTTACATGACACTAATGCCATGATTGTCACGTGAGGGTCTGTCGCTTCTATTCGCCATGCAATAATGGCATACCATACCAGTTTTGCAACATGCCTTGTGAACGAAACCACCGAAAGAGCTCAGGACCATGAAATATAAATCATAACATTCATGTACAAATATCATGATTTCCATGTAATGACTAACCAAATATGTTCTTCATACAGTCATGTTATGCCCTACCAAATTTGGTATCGATACCATTATCGAAACGGCCAGGAGAGCTAAAAGCTGTAGGCGGCTAGATAGATACGTTCAAAGTCGCCGAAGTTCGCTAAGGAATGCTTCACATTTAATAAACAGTTTTGTTGCAACTCTTGTATTGCGCTAATTATTTTTTTAATAAACAGTATTAGTAAACATAGAAACATGGGCTAAACCAGTGAGCAGACGTGCAGCAAACAGAAACTCATATCAAGTGTTTGTTTTCCTCTACTGTGTGTTGGTTGCTCTAGCGCATTTAGAGCACAGCGCTTAGGCGCCCGTTCCTGCGTTGAGCGTCGTTGTCGTTGCTGTTGTCTTCGGTGGCGTAACCGATAGACATAAAAGGGTAGCTGACAGGCAAGAAAAAATAAAGTGAAAAAAAAAAAGATTACAGCATATCTACGCAGTGAATGATTATGAGTGGGGTGAAGCGTCGGCGGGTTTTATCGGTACACCATAGATCATTCGTCCATCCACCCGTCCGTCCATCAACCCATCCACCCATCCATCTGTCTGTCGGTCTGTCCACCCATAAACCTTCAGCACCTGCTGAGTGAGTCATCGAACTTGGCGGTCACGAACCACGACGAGCTAGGATGGCCAAACCCAAGGCTTTAGGAGCTTCGCCCCTAAAACCCAAAGGATCGAACGGGCTGTGAGGACGAGTTCTCTGCGTGGCAGTCCAATATTCTACGGAAGAGCCACGCTGCTGCTGTAGAAATTCCATTGCAAGCGTGTCGTTGCATGTCGGGCAAGGAATATGGGCGTCATGTCGGTCAGAGAATCATGTAACCTATTTACGCAGCGTGACAGAATAGTAAAATTACAACCATTCGTCACGCCACACTCATCGTGCAACAAGTGTGTGGTTTCGGGCTCAACTGCAAAGTACTCATCCACTATTTTTCATCACCATCGGCCACATGCAGATTCGACAATGTGCATGTCTACCTTGAAGAAGTGTGGAGAGTACTTTGCTTACTTAAAGGAAGACGAATAATGATTTTATATTTCACAAAAATTACGATTTGTGTCCTTGAGGAAAGCCTAAGCTTGAAACACAGTTGGCGTTGCCCCAACACGATGCTGCGCTCAAAACTCATATTGAGCAGTGCCGTAATCATCACCGTTGAATTTTCTTTTTGCCTAAAGAACTTGTGACACCAAGTTGCCTGAATTCACACAGTTCTGCTGAATATAGGCTTCTTATCATAAAAGGAAAGCTTCTCATGCCGCACCTACCGAGACACAGAGTATGTCCTCTCGCAGGTGACATATCAGTTCTGGAAACATGGTGCGCTTATGCGATTGAAATTGAGCGATCAGGATTACTGCAGGGAAATGATGACGTATAACTACTATAATTCAAACGCTGGAAAAAGAGTGTATGATTCGTAGCTTACGTCGGGAAGCCAGATAAACAATTGCGTATAGAGTGAATGGAGATTGCTCAAACATGTAACGGAAAGATCGTGTTTAGTATTGACAGAACCGAACGGTGCTTATTTCATTAAACGATGACTCTCGTTTTATTTATTCTACACAAGCTAGGAAAGATTTCGCTTTACACAATAATAGGCACGGACACGAAACAAATAGCATGCCATACCATGTGACAATACATTAGTACGCAGCCTGCGGCCTTCCTTCAAAGACTGTAGTGAACTATATTTTTTTTTGTTGTGTCCATTTGGTAACCTCAAGCTTTTAGTAAAATATTTGAATGCATGAGTAAGGTAGTGGCCACAGTAATAAAATGGGTCTCTTTTGTTGCGTTTATTTTCCTAATACATAGGTTCAGACAAGTCTCTGAGTACCACAAGTAGGGAGTGGTACTGCCTTCTTGCGACGTAACGGACACACTTTCACGAGTGACCCTTATCGTCTATTACAAAATGATGACACTCACTGCCTTGTTCATCTTAGCATCGTGGTTTTACCCGCTTGTTCTAGCATACTGCGGCTTTGGGTCATCTCGCATGCGAGCAAAAGTTTTTAATTCTAAGTCACCCAACTTGAAGAACGAATACGTTTTTCCGTGAACGCGCCCAACTCATGCGCGATGCCAGCCAGCCATGGTATTTAGATTGCCTAATCTGATTTCACTTTTTTACGCTACAATGAAGTCGGGGACAGGACGTATTGAAATTTAACTGCAGAAAGAAAGAAAGAAGAAAGAAAGCAAGACAGAAAGAAAGAAAGAGAAACAAGTAGGTTAGAGATCTACGAAAACTTCAAGAAAAACACTTGGTTGTGTAGTCTTTTCTTCTTATAGTGACAAGTGACTCGAAGATTATTATGCGGATGGTTAACGAAAATGGTACTTGCTGCTGCGTGAGCGACTCATTGATTGAAACCCGCTATCAACATAGTTCTAACTTGCGAATGTTGACTGTGCGTGTGGCCCGTTATCAAAAGCTGCGCTTTACTGTGGCGCACGTACCCACGAAAAGAAAGGACGCAAGAAAAGTGGGAGCAGCGGAACGGCAGGCACAACCCTCATCCGGGATAGTGTTTTGCGATCCGTAGCTGCTTATAAATGACTGGCTTCGATCTTGACTCTCATAGAAGCTGCATAGTAGAGGTTTACTCACACCTCCAAGACCTGTGCATGTATGTGTAATAGATTTGGCTCGTGGGCACGCATTGTCCGTGGCATTTGAGATTATCGAGATTTTCCGAAGTGTGAGCCGTGCAACTGGCGGCAAGACGGTGTAATAAACGACCAATGCGATGCCTGCGGCCAAAAAAAAGTTGCACATAAGTTTTCGAAAAAAGTAACGTAAAAGCAAAAAAAAAACACATGTTTGTGATTCACAAAGCACTTGCACAGCGTACCAGGCACTTGCGCAGCAGTCATTTTATTTTCACTGGAATAGCGTTATTCGTGCTCTTTTTTTTTCTGTGACCTGTAGAAACTTAAACACCACACACAAGAACTATACATCTGAGCTCTTTCTGATGTTAGTATGGAACGCAGTTGTATACGAAGCAAGAGGGCAAGCGGCCCTTTGGTGTAAATCATGAACGCGATATTTCTCCCGTTCTCTCACTCTTTCTCACAGTCACCTACATTTCCTCACTTCAGCTTGCTCTTTGAGCTGAACCTCACTCTTCTGCTCTTCATATCCTTTATTATAGGTCGGTGACTCGTCCCCCACGGAACCTTGACTACCTGAAGACTAAGAGAGGATCAGGAGACTCCGCTGCGTGTTCCGAAGACCCAGTAGTGCACAGGGGGTGTTTGGCGACCGGCTTGCCACTTTACGGACCGAAGGAACACAAATGCTTTAGGAATAAGCGTGCTCCGAACCTTTCAGTAAAGATGACAAAGATGTTCTTTTGCCCCTCTCATGATTATTAGGATGGTGGCAGGCCACGCTGCCCCCGTGCATCACGAGTTAAGACGCGGTGCGTGGGAGAGAAGTCGCCCTTATGACGCGCCTGGCCGCAGGACGCCGTCGAGAAGGCGCGTGTGGAGTTTTGCCGTGCCGCGCCCTCCCTCTACGCTAGGAGAAGTGAGCGGGCCCCGGTACTGTCTCTCGGTCGTCCGCCAGTTTCGCCATCGCCTTTCGAGTGCTTCACTCGCCAGGGCAGCGGGAACGGCGTTCTCCTTCTCGTCAGCTGTGCCGCTTCTCTCGCTAGGCCGCTCTTCCGCATTTGATTTTTGGCCGCAGTGCCACCAGCTGACCTGCTTCGCCGTGCAGCTCGGGAAGAACGCCCACTCCCGGGGCCGTATCAGTATCTCTCCGAAGCCGGCGTGCCGCTGACGCGGAGCACCGTGTACCGGCATCGTATCTGCCTGCGCAGGACGGCAGACGCTCAGTTGACGCGGTGCGCGCTTCGATGCTGGACAGTGCGTCTTCGAGTCCTTAAATATTCTTTTGGTGTGGCCGCTTGGACGCTCGAGATCACCTGTTCTTTGTCGACCGCATTTTCAATCGTCGGTGCCGGCATGCGCGCGCGCACGTCCGCGCGCAAAGTTATTTGAAGTCGGTCTTCAGTCGTGTGACTTGCTCCAAGTGACCCACAAGCCGTTATCGCTGCTCGGGATTTGTTCCTTCGGCGCGCGCGTTTTGTGAACGTGTAGATTCCGCTGTTTGGACAATTGATTCAACACCGTCTTTCGAGTGAAGGGTGCGATGGCTGCAGTGTTGGCGACGTTGCGACCGCTGGTTTCCGAGATACTGATGCGTATGCTGGACCGTATCACGGAGTTGCTGCTGTTCGTGGCGAACTTGGCGCGGCGGAGACATCGAGTTCAGGGGACGCGCGATCCCTTGCTCCTCACGCCGGCTGTGGTGCTAGCCGACGCCATACGACACGGTCGGGTGAGCGAGTGCATTGGCTCTTTATGGCTATGTCTTTTTTATGCGGATTTTGCCGGCACGGAAATGGTAGGCACATCCTACATTGAATCACACTGTTACCTTGTCTATTTAAATGGCTTTTGGCATAGCAGTATACCATCTTTCATAAAACAGTCCTCGTGATAATGAACGTGCGCTGTCATATGTTATTCATTGATGTGATGTCACTAGTGCAGCTTCGTAACGCACAGCCGCTACAAAATAGTGGCTACCGTGTTGTCGACGCCACATAAACGGGTAAACAGCTTCAAGATTATGAGCATGCGGACGAGGCGTAAGTGGTCTCCGTACTAGAATTACGATGTACCGATAACACCACGCGGTGTCACAACGCAAGCATGTCACCGTGTTGGCAGTATACAGCATAGCGTCTTCAGTGAGGTCACTGCAAGCCATCTATTTTGCGCTTAGAATATTGGGAATACTTTAAAATTCAAGCTTATTAAGGATAGATCAGGTGTAGTCCGTAAACCAGATGCGTTATATAACGCCATAAGCAGAAAGTTAAGATGAATTCATAGAATAGCTACTATTACTAACGTGACTGCACTGTCAGTGATTGAGCACGACACTGTAATATTTCTTCTACAAAAGTGTGTGTGTCTAGCCATGGTGGTCTAGTGGCTATGGTAGTCGGAAGCTGAGCCGCAGGTCACGGGATCGAATACCGGCTGCTTCGGCTGCATTTTTGGTGGAGGTAAAAATGCTGAAGGCCCGTGTGCTCACATCTGGGCGCACGTTAAAGAACCACAGGCGGTCAAAATTTCCGGGGCCCTCCACTACGGCGTCTCCCATAATCATATGGTGGCTTTGGAACGTTAAACCCTGCATATCAATCAATTACAAAGCTTTGTGTCGGCACCGTTGTGTTTGTGACCCTGTTAAACCTATGTTGTCGTTCAGTTGATTGTAAAGCCATAACGGCATTCCTTCACCGCGTGAAGAAATGCACTATTAGCTTCACGCGCGGCATCGGTACACCCGTATGTTATGTTGCGCGACAGAAAGCCACTCTTACACGATGCAATGCCATATCAGAGTGAGAAAATGTTGAATGAAGGAAACAGTGCTTCTCAGTTGCACACAAATTGGTGTAATTGAAACCACTGTGGAGCAACCGTTCCCCTGTGAAAACCTCGTCGATCACAATTGAACGCAGGCGCATGGCGAAGCGTTAACAACCAACTTGGAAATTCACCAGTGCAGTCTTGCCAATCAAATTTGGTTTGTGGGACTGAATTTAACTTTATAAGAAGCTTCTCTAAGAAAATACCGTGAGACTTGTTTCGTTTGAGAGACGAAGGATGTGTTAGAAAGGGAAAGAAAAGGACATTCCCAAATGAAGAGCTGCGATATCCGTTCAATTTTGTATATTAACAAGAGGAAAATGCAGCAGCAGGTAAACAGAATAATAAGTATTCGTAATGTTTACCAAAAAGAGTGCGCTCAGGGAAAGTCTGCCTGGAAAAACTTTTCGGACGATTTTACGGGGGCATGCATGTGCTATCGGAACAACATGGTGCAGTAGAGCGTCCAGATGAGCTAACTGATCAGTGTTTGTCAAAAAAAAATCAATAACCGGAAAAATGTTCAGAAAGGAACTCAAGTGAAAGGAAAGGTACTGCTCAAACGCACGTTATCAACCGTATAAGGTCGAGCATAGGCGAAAAAGAGGTTGGACAATCTTCAAACTTACTTGCGCGCTCGAGAGAGTGGCTACAGCAGCCGTCGGTGACGTCACGCAAGAGGGCATGATCGACAGGTTACTCTTTAAGACCTAAATAGGCGGCTTACGCATGATAAGGCTCTCCAACGCACCTTAACACGGAGTATTCACCATAAGACGTGTTTGATCATCCTCTTGTCTATTAACTCTGTGTCCAGAACTTTTAATGGCCCCTATAATCTCGATAGCTCAACGAAAAATGAGAGGGTTTGAATCCGGTCACAAATCAGGTGGCTAACTATTCATGCTCGTATATCTTCCATAGAAGTGACTGCTGCCAAATGAAACATTATGAAAGTTCGTAATGAAACTTCTGTCTTTATCTGCATTTTACGTAAAACATTATCCAAAATTTTTGTTGAATAATTGGTCTTTCTATCATTAGGAAATGACACATAGGTTGTGTAACACGTTGCAACCAAGAACCAAAAAGTAACTACGGATTTATTTGCTACTTGAGTCCTCAAAAAGGACACATGAAATATTGAGTGGTCTTTTCTTGTTATCATTCGGCACGTAGGAATAGATGATGCACATTTTTTTTTGCTCAATACTGTGCCATGACCACTGTAGCATTCGGATACTCCATTTATCTATAAACACGTAATGATCGCAAAAATCATAGGCTGACGTTCTGCTCACCCTATTTGGTTAGACACGACTTAAGCCAAGACATATCTATAATGCGTCTTCAACAACATTATAGTGCTTTGATCAAACGCTTAGGACAGTTTTGGTGATTCCGGTACCTGCTGCAAGGCTCGCCAACAATGTCATGAAGATATCAAGCAATGGCAATGCATTATGGTCAGGCAAATATTAGCGAGGCTTAATTGGGTGCATTTATTTTAAACTTTCCAGCATGAAAAAAGAAAAATAAGCAATCCCAAAAAAATTAGAAGTCAAGCCAGGACATCATTGATCCCTAGGTCGATCTGATGTGGCATGATTGATCTATCTTGCAGTCCTTTTTTAATTTTTTGTTACCGTATATTTCTATATCACTTCGTAGATTTCATCCACGTATTCCTTCGCTCTCTGTACACATTCGCAGGCGAGCGTAGTATTGCCCGACAGCTTCGTAGGCCACGCGAAGTCGTTTTCGCTCGCTGGTAAACCCAGTGCTCCCGTTACGCGGGCGTCAAGGCCTCTGAATAATGCGGCGACCGCTTACGGAGCACGAATTCACCCAACCCTTTCGCGGATAGGCGAGCCAAGCGCTTTGCGCGTTTCTGTTTTTTCCTTCCCGCTTCGCGATAGTCCCTACAGAAGGACGCCATGCCTTTCACGCTCGCGGAAGATGAACCTGCTCTTGAAACTGGCTGTTGTTTTTTTTTAACGGATACTGCAGGCCCACCATGGCCCTAGCAGGAGGGGAAAAAGTGCACTTGTAAAGGATAGAGATTTCTACACAGTGCTTTGAAAGGAAAAATATACAGAAGAAAGAAGGTGTCTAATTAGTAAGCATAGCTCAAAAGTAATAACACCTTGAACATCTCAAAAAGTGTAAGCGAGCAATAGGCAATATTTACACAACAAAGCAACAATATAAAGTTATATACACACAACAATAATAAAGCAATATGCACACAACAAAGGAACATTCTTAACATAACCAAACATCAATCCCAAAGACGGATTTGGGTGCACGTTGAAGAACCCCCGGCGGTCGAAATTTCCGTAGCCCTCCACTACGGCGTCTCATATAATCATATGGTGATTTTGGGACGTTAAGCCCCACGTATCAATCAATCCTGAAGACGTTTGAATGCTTGTATACTTTGCACTGATGATATTGGCAGTGAGTTACATTCGTTATTTGCGCCCTCGTTTTATTGCGATAGCAATTATATGGACGGTCTCGGCTGGTTTTTTTTCACAGATACGAGTTAAAAACATGCCTGAGGTCATCTACTTTCCTCGTACTAGAACAAACCTGGCGGCTGAGACATCTCTAGGTTATTAAACGCATAAGATCGGCAAATCTGTCTCGACGAACTATGCTATCTGGTGCTTGTGCGCAGTGCTCATGTTCTTTTTTCTTTCTTAATCCTCATAAGTGCTTGTTGAGTCCGACTGTTCCACGCTCTGTTCAAACAAGTAGTACCCTCTTGCGTTACGAACGTTACATATACCAGAGCGAAAATATCATGATTTATTAGTTTACAAGAACAAAAAAGTTTCGACCAGGTGCTGTATGGGGAAAACCGCACATGCTGTGCTCTTGTGCCACCAGTGGCTGCTACAGGCATTCGCTTTGTGCCGTCGCTGTGCTATAGTATCTTTAGCTATAGAGTGTACGATACCATTGCCCTATTCTCTTGCTCGTGCTAGGAGAACATTTTTATCTTACGCTATATAACAATCAATCTCGCGGCTCGACTATCACCTACCGTTGATGAAAGTGTGCAAAACTTTAAGCCATGCAATTTTCTGCTCGTTGCATGTGGCGAAAGCGAAAATGTGTCACAGGGACCAATCTTTGGACATTGCCTACCGAATTTGGCGCTTGCAGTGTATGGAACATAGTACTTCATACTGGTGGCTGTTATTAAAAAGAAATCAAAAGAAATCGTCAGTGGGTTCATGACCTATGCTAAAGTGGGAAAAGTACTTTCTCCAATCAAGCGTAAAACATGGTTAGCACTTGATTGCGCACGAAAGTGTGCTTCAGTGGTAGGAAAATGGGGAATGCCTAAGTATAGCATTATATACGTAGTGCTATAAAGAGGGAGACGTATAGAACACAGCATGCACAGTATGCTAACAGCGAAGACGTGTTCCTTATCACTTTAGCGCTGAATCTACCAAGCAAGAATTTCAACTAGCCCAACTTTCCATTCTGCTGGCTAAGTATGGGTGTGCTGAGGTCGAGATACGCAGTCGGTTGATCGATATGTGGGGTTTAACGTCCCAAAACCACCATATGAATATGAGAGACGCTGCTACGCAGTCGGGGCTCATATATTGACCTATACTCGCATTTCACACCGTATATTTGCTTTAGTACCTCGATTACTAAAAACAGGTTGCCAATAACAATGACGTTTTAGGCTTCCTCAGTAATGGAACAGTAGAGTCTAAATTGCTTAATTGCTTTTCACGTGAACCCTGATGATGATCGGTTCACCACTCGAAACCATTGGAAATAAAATGAAGACAACCGCGAGTACCCCGCATCGACACGGCGGTTCAAGAAATAGATGGGAGAGAGCGATAAATTAGTGATGTTTTA